ATCCATTTCCCTGCAAATGCCATTATTTTGTCATTTCTAATGGCTGCATAATATTCCATTGTGTATAGATACCACACTTTTTGGATCCATTCATCTGTGGTGGGGCATCTGGGTTGTTTCCATATCCTGGCTATTCCTATGCTCCTTTTTATAAATGCTACATTTAAGTACCATGAGGGCAGATGGACTAACTGTTGAAGTTAGAGCACTAAACTGGGCACAGTGATGCATGCCTGTAATCCCAGCACTTAAGGAGGCTCAGGCTGGAGGATCTGGAGTTTGAGGCCACTCTAGACTACAGCAAAACTGTCTCAAAGAACCGAAAGGAAAGGAGTACACAATGAAGTCAGAACTCACTTCCTAGCACATCACAGCTGTAGAATTCAAGAATTTAATATGCCCAGTTTGATAGACTAAGGACAAGTGACCATTTCCCTTTTGGTGTTAAGACTGCAGTTTTTTTTCAGAGTGAAAAAGATGAAAAAGAAGAAATATTGAAGGCTTTCAAATTATTTGATGATGATGATACTGGAAGCATATCTCTAAATAATATCAAGAGGGTTGCCAAGGAGCTAGGGGAAAATTTAACGGATGACGAACTTCAGGTCAGTGTTCTTTATTTTTGTAATTATAATTTATGTAATTTTGGAGATTGTAATTATAGTTTATGCATCATTTTATATGCTAATTTATATGTTAGATGCCCATTTTTAAGATATCATATATCAAAATAAGATTTGAAACCAGATGCCAGTGGCTCACACCCATAATCCTAACTACTCAGGAGGTGAGATGTGAGAATCCCAGTTTGAAGCCAGCCCTGGTAAGAAAGTTCATGACTCTCTTATCTCTAACCACAAAAAAGCCAGAGTGGAGCTGTGGCTTAAGTGCTAGAGTGCCAGCCTTGAGCAAAATAGTCAAGAGACTGCACCTAGGTCCCGAGTTCAAGCTCCAGTACCACCACAAGCCAGTTTTAGTTTAAAAATGTGATTTTGAGTGAGTGTATATTTCCATATTTATTTGTATCATTATTCATTTTAAAAATAGATTTTGTGGGGCTGGGAAGGTGGCTTGCATGCCTGAGGCCCTGGGTTCCATTCCTCAGCACCACATAAGCAAAAAGAAAAAAGCCAGAAGTAGCGCTGTGGCTCAAGTGGTAGAGTGCTAGCCTTGAGCTGAAGAGCTGAGGGA